TCATCTTAACCAAGACAGGTCTGGACAACGTCAGACTCAACCTGATTGAAGGTGTCTGCGACACATGTCGGGAGTGCAGGGCCTGGGGCAAGTCAGGGCATACGGTTATGTCATCTACTGCGCTGCCTGGCAAATTCAACGACGAAGTTGAATGTGACCTGATGTTTTTTTTTTTTTTTTTTTTTTTCAAAGAAGAACATACTATAGTCCATAGATATGCTACTGGAATGGAGATACCAGACAAGACCATGACCAGTATCCTGGATGCATACCATCAGTGCTGGATGCAGTTTGGACTTGCAAAGGCACTCTACTCTGATGGAGAAGGTGCCCTCAACAACGACACTGCGAAATCAGTCCTCCAGGCAAAGGGCACTTAACTAAGGATACGTGCGCGTGGACAAAACGCTACGACGATCGAAGCCAGAAATGGCAGATATGCGCCATCTACTTCATGTCGTGGAAGCTGAACTCAACAGGTTAGACATACCTCTAGTGTTCACATGACTACTGCCTGAGGCCTTGTTTGCCGCCAGTGCGTTCAGCTTCTACAGCGAGGTGGCCCCATGTAGCGCTCTGTTTGGACGGCAACCGGCAATGCTCCCTCACTCACCTGTCCTGGATTACGAACGGCCGACGGAAACGTCGGATCATTCTCGTGAACAGATGATGCGCAAGGTAGGCATTGAAGCTATGACGCAGGCCACTGCCGTCGCCAAGGCCAATCGTGCATTACGCAGTAAGACACATGTTGCCGGCCAGCATTACTACGATGAAGGAGTGTTAGTTGATTACCATCGCCCCGCAACCACGAAGGACGACATGGGACGCTGCAGTGGCCCATTTCTAGTTGTAAGAAACGATCCCGGAAAGGGGGTCGAGCCATCATTCGAGTGGGAAGCCGTGGCGTTCAGGTACAATACGGCGATGCACGACATGTACTCTATATTGAAGCTTTAATTGCCAGAGATATTGGCTCCGACAACACTGCACTATGGACAGTGATGACGTTCATGACCAGTTTACCTGCGGGGGGACCTGCTATGACATTTGGCTGTATACCGACCAAGAAGGGGATGCTTCAGATGACAAGTGCAAGCGGACTATCTCCCAAGGCACATACTCCGCATTGAGAACGTAGTTTCGGTCAGGTTCGCCAAGGGTATCCATGAGCTACCTCCGGTTGCTTGCGCTGACAGTTGCACGTTTGGTCCACTACGACAACGATGTGAATCCAGGATTTCACAATCATGAAGCAGAAGGCACCGCTCTTAACATTTACGGTGCAACTGGATCACCACATCCTAGAATCATCCAGCGCCTGAAGTCCACCAAGCCTCAAACAGGCTTTGACCAGGATATGACGCAGTTTGAGGAATTGGCGGATGCACCGACACCGGATGGAACTGCAAGAGAAGCCTCAGAAGCCGAACCACCACAGGAGGATGGACGGCTTCGTACGACTTATGAGGAATCGGAGGCTGACCTCGAGGCGCACGTCATGGAAGTGCGGCATGCAGAACCACAAGATGAAAAGGCACTACAGGAGGCAACTCCACTGGAGGATCTTTGCACAACACCTACACATATGATGCCAGACCATAGTGCGCTGATCACTGCAGCTGAAGAACAGCGGGGTCACCTGCCTACGTGGGGACACCCACGCGACTCCGACACCGAGGAGCTGTCTCATGTCCCGCTGTGCTCCGTGGTCGAAGATTGCAGTTGCGGACTGGACTCAGACGGAAATGGACAATATGTTGAAGCCTGCTTTACGGCAGAAATGTCAAGGGCAGTCTTGTCCGAACAACAGCACAGGATATAAGATGCCGTCCGTGTGAACACCATGCGAGTATATGTCACTGCCGCTACAGAGCGAGCTGCGATCGTCAAGGAAAACGACCTCCTCGCGAAGGCTGACATCCAGGTGAATCCCGAGAAAGTGTCGAAAGCCCTCTACACCGAACTCAAGACATGGTTTGACAGAAAGTGTTTCGAAATGCAAGACACATCTACAGCGTCGTACATCTTGACTTCGAAGTATGTGTACACATTGAGAACTGTGAAGAACGAGAAGGGCGAAATGGCACCTGCCATCAGATGACGCCTGGTGCTTCGAGGCTTCATGGACCTTGAAGCCTTTGACGTGGAATCCTTCTCGGGAACAGCGCTGTGGTCAAGCTGGGGGCTACTCCCCAGCGCGGCAGCGTGCAAGAGGCAATGGGGCATTGCCTCCATCGAAATTAACGTGGCTTTCCTGAAAGGGTTGATCGACCAGGAACTTGCTGAGGCAACTAGTGATAAGGAACGTCTGGCGCGTTTTACTTGGCCGCCTGGATCGGCCACGGCGCTCCGAACTCTCCCAGGATTCGAACACTACGACGAGTCAAAGCACTGCTTGCAGTGCCTCAAACCAGGCACTGGCACCAAAGACGCACCCCGAGCTCTCCCACTAAAGATCAGAAGGGCCACAAGAGGTTCTGGTGTCCGACCCGCGTCCTGCGACGAGGAGTTCGAGACGAGCGGCAAACTGCTTACGGCCACCCATCTTGAAGATATCAATCTGGCCGGCACTGAGGACACCATTGACAAGTATGTCAGGTGCGTAGAAGACACTTTTGGCACGTGTAAACTCAACGAGCTCACGTGCACTAATTGCGCTGTGAGATATGCCAAGGACGAGGGCGGCGATGTTACTGTGGACCAAGGCGAATGCATCAAGCAGCTCCGTTCTATACAACATCCTGAACTTACCGGCGCCGACGCTGACGCTCAGGCATCCAAGCCGGTTGCAGACATGTTCGTCAGCTTCAGAGGCGCGGTGGCGCATGCATTAATCACCCAGGCGTGGTTGATGGCGCATGTTGTCCCTCTACAATGTTTCCAAGAACCGACCAATGTAGAAGTGCAAAGACTGAGCGCGACCACCAGGAGACTGCAGGCCTGTCCTTCGAAGATCGCCTACCAGGCGATAGCCCCTACGGGCGAGGTCGACCTGCGCAGCGACTCAGGTTGCCGACGCCTGAGTGGGGACGCCGACGACGAAGCCAAAGGGCATGGTGTTCGCGGGGTAAACCTGCTACGGCGTGGAAGCGCGCCATCTGGCAAGCCCGTCGTTCACTTGATCGATGCGCACTGCAGGTCTCGCCGCTCGCGGGCCCGCTCGAGCTTTTCAGCGGAGAAACGAGCAGGTGCCCACAACTAGGAGGACTGTCACCCCACGACCGTGACTCTGCACGAGATCCACGCAGAGCCGCTAACTCCCACTCAGTTGAAATATATACTTGAGTTGGGTGGCCTGAGCATTACAGTCACTTTGGTTATAGATGCTGAGTCTGTGTTTAAGTCCTTGGCAAACAAAGACTTGAAGTAGCCGACTGAGTGTGCCCTTTTAGGACACATCAGCTGGATACGACAGATGATGGAGCGAGGAATTGTGCACAGCATTCAGTGGTGCGACACCCGCGATACGACCGCGGACGGTCACACCAAGGGGAGCATCGACAGAGAGATGATCCTACTGGTCATGGGAGGTATATAATTATTAACATGACGTAAAGAATTATACTTTTTATCGGGCTGGCCAGACATCCCGTGCTGTGGCCGCCTGACGAGTATCTGTATGCATAGAATAGTACAGGCAAGGCAACTTGCGTGCGGGTCCACCTTCCTTACGGCCCCGGCCATTTGCTGCCCTTTTGTAGATAGTCGCTTCTGTATCTGCTGTATAGAGGCGGCGGACTCACGCCTCGTCTTCCTCCCCCCCGACTCTAAAGTGAGCTGGGCGTTGCACGTGAGTGGGGACGGCCGTGCATCCGCGGCTGCTTGGCTCAAAGCGGCCGGCCGCCCAGATCTGACTACACCTCAGCGCAAGGTGCACGATTTGCCATCAATACCAAAATTGCTTGAGATGGCTCGCCCCATACTACTGGGACTATCGCTGCTGCGGTACAGCAGAGCGGGAGCGCGGCCCTCTTGGGGCGATCCTGAGAGCCCTGGGGGAGTCTCCTGGGCCGCGCCACGGGCACTTGTGGTCCGGGAACCCCCAGGGGGCGCCCCACGCGCGCAAGGTAGAAATTGTGTATAGATGTTACCAGGGATCTTAGCACGCTGTTTATTTGTTCGGCGACAGTCGTTCGCGGCAATGGCCGATCACATCGCTTTGGAACGCAAAGGCGAAAGTGGAAAAGGACAAAAATCCTCCTCCCCTTCCTGTATGTGTGGCCATGGGATTGTTCACCATATGTATGTTCAGTACTTGTGCGAGCCAGACCCGGACACTTGGCTTTTGGTTGCCTCTGGCCCCATTCGTAAGAGTGGAGGGCTTCCGCCTGCGCGAGTCCTTGTCTTGCCGCGCACGTGCTGGCCCGTGCAGGGTGAATTGCTGCCGCCGCATCCACGTGATCTTCGTCCTCCTCGTGCTCCTACTTTTCTTAGTGTTCGTATCATTATCATTATTCCATCCTCCTCCTGCTTCTCCTCCTTCGCCTCCTCCTTCTCCTCTTCCTTTCCCTCCTTGTCTTCGTCTTCCTGGCTAGGCCGGTGGGACCACCTGAGCGACGCCCAAACATTTGGTCGACTGCGCCGACATTGGCGCGTAAATTGCCCGCGCAAGGTCGCGCGTAAGTGCCGTCCCTTCCGATGTGGCGTGCCGCGCTGGCGGCCCGCGCAAATCGTCGCGTAAGGTCGCTATGCCATCTTGCGTGAAACCCGTTTCTGTTTCGTCGCCCACGTGGGTCCTGGCCAAGAGGGCCTGCGACGTCGCGGGAAGCGGACGGAGGAGCCCGGGATCTGGGAGGGTTGCCTGGATGGGGCCCAGGATTCATCGGTGATGCCAGCTTGGAAAAGATCGGGGCCCGCGGCGGGTTCCCTGGCATGAGGTGTCCAAGCCCTGAGCAACCCCTCGCTCATGTCCGCTCCCGTATGCCTGAGGCGGCGCGGGATCGGACCACGTGCGCTCTCGCTTGTCCTCTCGGCGGGTTCTGCTGCCCCCCTGCCAGGAAGGCGTGGCAGGCCCAGCCCCGCCGGCGAGTCCAGCCCCGCCGGCGGCCGAGCCGGCACAGGGCGCGCCAGCGGCGCAGGCCGCGCCAGAGGCGCAGGCCGCGCCGGCGTCCGCGCAGGGCGAGCCAGCAGCAGCGCGGGACGCCGCGGCCGCATCTGTTGAGGGACAGGGCGCCTGCCTGGGGGGTGCGGTCTTCCAGGCATCCCATATAGGGTCCGAGTAGAGATGGGGTCGGAGGATCGCGCCGCATCGCCGTTGCATCGCCGATGCAACGGCGACGTCAGCGATGCATCAGCGACGCCGGCGTGGATGAAGCTGGGCTCCACATTGAGCCTTATGGCCGATGCATGGGCGATGCGGGGCGATCCTCCGACCCCGTCTGCTCGGACCGTATGTAGGAGGCCTCCAGGTCTTCGGCCGCGCGCCTGCTGCTCCCACGGCGCCTGCCGGAGGCATGCCCGAGGCGGCGGGGGCCGCCAGCGCCCTGCGCGAGACCAGCGCGGCGGAGTCGGAGGCGGGCGCGCCGCGGAAGTCCAGGCTGCGGCGGCTAAAGCCCACCAGCGCGGCGGCAGCGGCCGCCCGCGCGGCCGCGGCCGACCCGCAGCCGGGCGCGGCGCCCACCCGGTCGCGCAAGCGCCGCGGCCGCAGCGGGGCGGCAGAGCGTGCTGCGGACCCCGCGGCGCGCAAGCGGCAGAGGACCCGGCAGCCCGCGGCGAGCCGCGGCAAGCCGGTTGGCGGCAGGCGCGGGGGCGCTGCTGCCGCGCGGAGGCTGGCCCCGTCAGAGTCGGAGGACGAGCCGACCACCACGGGCTCGGCGTCCAGCTCATCGTCCAGCTCCTCCTCGACGAGCAGCTCGGAGGAGCCCGCTGACCCGGCCGGTCGGGGCGGCCGCGGGAAGGCTCCGAGGAGCGTCCGGCAGGCGGCGCAGCTGGTTCCTGCAAGGGACGGCGTCGTGGCAGACGCGTCCGCGCAGCCCGCCAGGCAGATAGACGCTGCCGCGCTGGCGAAGCGCGTGCAGGAGCTCCGCCAGCAGCTGGAGGACTACCGTGCTAGCGACGGGCCCGCTCCTTTCGCCACCGTGGCGCCCGTGTTCCGCGAGCTGAAGTCCTTAGACTCCGAGGGGCGGATGGACTTCCAGCTGCTGCGGGAGACGCGCATCGCCGTGGAGCTGAATAACAGTTGGTGGAGGCGTCAGGCGTCGGGGGACGCCAGCCATACACTGACACCGATCATGGCCGGCCCAATCTTGAGCCCACACAATACACGCCCAGTAGGCCTACTTAGGAGTATACAGGAGGTTTTGTTGTGATGACGGCGGTTCTGATTTCAGCTTACGCGTGAACCGTCCAATTTCACGACCTCCAAAGTGTCGTTTTCTGAGCGCCCCGTCCCCCGCCAAAGTCCAGAGCGAAAGCCGTGGGGAAAGGGTCCAGCCTCCCTCCCCCTCGGTGCCAGACCCCCCTCACGCGGGCAAACGACGACGACAACCACGAGGACCAGACCACGACGACGACGACGGCGGAGGCGGCGGCGGCGACGATGACGACGATGACTACGTCCCGCCCATCCGACCGACTCGCCCACGACGATGTCGACAACGTCTACCACCCGCCCGACCGAGGGATTTGCCCACGACGACGACGGCGATGGCAACGACGACGACGACGACGACGGCGAGGAGGAGGACGACGACGACGACAACGTGTCCCGCCTACCCGCCCGATTGTCCACGACGACGACGTGTCCCGCCCACCCGACCGACTCGCTGGCAAAGGACGACGACGACGTGGCCCCTCCTCCCGACCCACTCTCCCACGACGACGATGTCGTGTCCCCACCGCCCGCCCGACCGACACCCACCGCGGGCAAACGACGACGACGACGACGACAACGACGAATACGACGACTACGACTACGACGACGACGACATGTCCCGCCCGCCCGACCGACCCGTCTACGACCAGCCGGACGGAATCGCCGGCAAACGACCACGACGACGCGGCGAAGGAGGAGGGGGGAGCGGGATAGTTGAGGATTTTGCATAAGGAGGCGCACATAGAAGACGCTCTCTTCGACCTCCGCTGTGGGGCCCCCAGGGACTCGACCCCAATCTTTGGCACGGAGTCCTCGCAGTTTGTTGTTTTCTGAGTGCCCTGTGGCCCAGAATGGACTCCTGAAGATGGTCAGCCCTGAACGTTCGCGTTTGCGTCGCCGCCGCGTCGAGGCAGAGCAGGCTCCCGCCGTGCACCGATACTGGGCCCAGGATTTGGACTGGACTGCACCGGCGTCGATGCATATGCTTGGCGACCTCCCGAGGCGGGGGGCGCGGCGGGGGCAAGCGCCGCGGCCCTCGTTCAGATCTGGATGGCAAGGTTCCAGGCGGCGCGGGAGGCCAAGCGCGAGCTGGGCCCCCCGCAGAAGCCTGGGCTGCTCGGCTCCATGCAGAAGCTCAAGGTTCTGGGGCCCTGAAAGGAGTTCACCTGGCGGCGCTCCTTCGATCTCTGCGCCTTCTCCCGTGGATGGGGAAGGGGAGGGAGGGGTGCGGAGGAGGGGGGATGAAGAGGCCGTCCAGGAGGAGGGTGGGAAAGACGCAGATGAGAGGGATGAGGTGGAGGAGGAGGAAGAGGAGGAGGATGAGGACGAGGAGGAGGAGGGGGAGGGGCGGGAGCCGAGGATGGAGGATAAACAGGAGGAGGAGGAGGAAGAGGAGGAGGAGGAGGAGGAGGAGGAGGAGGAGGAGGGGGAGGGGGTGGAGTAGGTCGTCGAGGGGTAGGATTGCGAGAACAACGATGGGTACAATAGAATGAGGAGAATCAGCAGGAGGAGGAGGAGGAGGAGGAGCAAGAAAGGGCTCACGTTCCTCATCCTCTCCTTCATCCCGGCTAGGTCGCGCACGAGGGCGCAAGGGTAATTGCGCTTTGCATGTCTTGGTCTGGGTCGAAGAGTTGCCCGTACTCAGTGGGTCGCGCGAGAGCGCGAAACTCATCCCGTTTCGCGAAATGCGAAATTGGACGCTCGTCATCCTCCTCCTCCTCCTCCTCCTCCCTCCTCCTCCTCATCTTCCTCCTCCTCCTCCTCATCTTCCTCCTCCCCCTCCTCCTCCTCCTCCTCCTCCTCTTCCTCCCCCGTAACCATGTTGACTCAAGATGAATGTGCCCCGTGGTGCAGAACGGAGACCGTTGGTCCAGAGCCAGCAAGGACCCCGTGTTCTCGCCCCAGCGCCCACAGCGTTGAGTTTCATATTTTGTGCTGCCGCATTCGCCTGCGGCCAGCTTCCATCTCACGCGCGTTCTGCTGTGGCTGGCGCGGGCCACCTCTCTCCAGCGGGCGAGGCTGCAGAATGAGATCTCTTGGTGGTGCGGCTGGAAGCGACTCCATCATCATGGTCTCTGGTGGCCAAGGCATTGGCGAAAAGGGTGTTGGCAAAGGACTCACCCCCGAAGATCCATGGGCGTCTGGTGCACATGATTTTTTCGCCGCGACCATGTTTGTCCACCAGCGAAAATAACTGCAATACCTACTTCAAGTTTAAGTCGACAAGGCCGCCGCCGCATTCGAAGCCACATCAAGAAAAATAGCAGCTGACGCCCAAGCCGAGTTCATCGCGACCACCACCCGCACCACGGAAGCCTTGGGCGCCAGGCAAGGATCTGCCGAACGTGACCTCACCCAGCTTACGTCCCGGGCTGACAACGCCGAACGCCCCAATGTTGAACTCCAAGCCAGCGCCGACGACATCAGGAGGTCTACTCGAGACGCTGAAGCCCTGCACCCGCCCATCTAACTTGACGCGCTTGGCAAGTGGGGTAGGGCCCCGCATGCTGATACATTACGGTGCGGAGCTCCTGCCGAGTTCGACACGGGAGCAAGAACGCATTCGCCCCCCAGTTCGCCGCCGCGGACGTCGACATCAACCCAAGCCGCCTCAACTCCAGTGGACCTGCAGCAAGAATGTTTTTCACGCTCACAGGGGGTGATGTAGTTGCTCTTCCTCGTGCAAGTGCCCTTCATACAGATCTTCGAAATGGGCGAGAATGGAGGCATTTTCAGATGGCAAACACGTCTGAACGGGTCCCTCTCTACGCTTCAGCCGATCAGTCTCCTAGGATGGTTCGACAGGAAGTTCAATTCAAACAAGCTCAGCCGAATCATCGTAGCCAAGCACCCCGATATCGATGCCACTATCCACCGCGCGCTCGGATACCTGTCCGTCGAAGGCTCGCCATCGTGCAGGTCATCGCTGGAGCAATTCCTGATGTCGCTACTAAGGTTCGCTGGTCTGACGCCGCCGTTCACCCTGTCTTGCCAGCATATGAGCATGATTCCACCGTTGCTGAGCTCGCCGCGGCCTTCTCTCGGACCCGCTGTCCGCAGTGCAGCGACTTTCGCACGGCATGGTCGCCGTGGTTCGTCAAGCCTCAGCCGGGCGGCGTTAGTGTCGCCTCTCGGAACACTCAGTCGCCGACGGGGAAGTCGTCCTCCCGTCGAGCCATCGAGCGCGACATCTTATTGCCCTGCATGAGACAGCGCGCTGTCATCGCGCTGCAGGAGATCCACGGCAATTGCGCCGACGCGCAGTGCATCGCCGATTCTACTCCGCGCCTGCATCCCGATTCATTCGGCTTGCGGTGAGAACCCGGAGAACGCGGGTGGCGTCGCCTTCTCGTTCCGCGCGACAAGCGCGAGTTCGGTCTTCCTGCGGACCAACGGCCTCGGCGTGACTTCTCGGCCCACCGTTCGCGGGCGCATCGCAGCACTTCGGGTTATGGACGGCGAGCAGAGGCGCGAGACCACCGTCTTGAACGTCCACAACCACGAGCTGTCGTCGAGGGGCCGCCGTCTTTTCAAGGCCGCCTGGGACCTCCGCCCAGCGGCGCGTGGCCGACATGCCTGGCGCGCACAATCTGATTTCCACCGGCGACTTCAACATGCCTGAGCTGCCGCCAAGGAGCTCGCTGCGGCCTGTCGACGACACCACAGACAACATATACCGATACCAACCTGTATTCTGGAAGCAGATCTTCTCGACCATGATCGGTCACCGCCAAGCCCACCACCCACCGATGCTCGACCGGCGTGACCATACCTTCAAAGCCGCGATTGACTATTGTTTGGTTCCCACAGCGGCGTTCAACGTCCCCCACCTGGAGACGCATCTGACAGTGGACTCTCGCCCGCCGGAACGCGCTGGCGCCCCTGCTAGCGACCGCCAAATTATGCATCTTCGCCTCCGACCTCGTGCGCAGCGTCACACTGCCGAGAGGGGTATCCCCGCATTCCTCTTCGAATCCAAGCTCCACAAGTTCTTGTTCGAGCGCTTCGCGAGCATGGTCGACGCGTCTATCTCCGACCCGATTCCGAAGTGGCGCGCAATGCAGCACATCATGGCTCTGGCGGCGCGAAAAGCTCGCAACGCCCTCGCCGCTACCCAGCCGTCCGAGCTCACGGACGACGACTCCATCATCCGCTGCGAGGCGCGCGCCATAACGATGCGCAGCATCGCCAGGGCAGCATGGCAACAGGACAGGAGGCTCGCCATGACACTTGCCCCCGGCACCGCCGCGGGTGCGAAGCATTTGCGCATGGGCAGCAATCGGGACAGCCTTGTCGACTCCGCAGCTTTCGCAAGCGAGGTCGCCTCGACCCACCTGGCCATCGCCGATCGCCGCCGCCTCGATGCTGCTGCGCGCCCCAGGGCTGCGTTTCAAAAGCATAACCGTCAGCTCGGCGACAAGTGGAGGCGGCGCTCTCGTCGCGCTGGCCAACGAGGGGAACTATGGCAGGCTTTCGCCAAGCGTCTCGTGCTACCTGGCACTCGCATCTCCGAGGGAGCCGACTACCGCGCGGTCTCCGGCCCAATGGCCATGCAAAGCGCCACCCAGCCCCACTGAAGCCGCGTCTTCTCCGCCAAGGCAGTCAATGCCCAGGGGATACAGCGACGCTTTGACATAATGTTCCCGCAACAAGCGCTAACGCACTTGCCTCTTCCAGACAGCCAGGAGCTCTTGGCTGCTGCGCGACTGGCAGGCGACTCTGCGCCTGGACCTGATGAGCTAACCCACCGCGCATGGCTTCATTCACCCGGTAGCGTCGACGCCCTCCACGGTCTCATGCTCTCCATGGCGGAAAGCGGCCCCATGCCACGCGTCATCAACTACTCGCTGATGACCACGACGCCCAAGGTCGACGAGCGTCTCGGCAACTTCGAGCGCACCAGGCCCCCCGACTTCCTCCGCCTTCCCGCCACGAAGAACAGCGGCGTCAAGCTGATCGCCTCCGCGACGAATCGCACATTGCATCGCGTTGCAGCCAGGACGACAGGGGGGCAGGCGGTCTTCGTCAAGGGCAGGCAGCTCCTGAACAACAGTGTCTCGTTGACTCTGCAATTCGGGTGATCAGCATCTCCAGGGACGCAGAGGCGCTCGCGCCGTCCTTCGCGAGCATGGACATAGCGGCCGCCGTCCCGGGCCTGCTCCACGACTGGTTTTGGCAAGTGCTTGGGCGTTGGGGCATCCATGGCCCCTTTTTCTTGCTGCCGAAGGCTTGCTACGGGCCGCCCATCGCCATCTTAGAGCTGGGCGGATGTCGACGCCCGCTGCTCATCGCCGCCTCTGGCGTTGCACGAGGGCGCCCATGGAGTGGCACTCTGTGGGCGCTCACCTTCGACCCCGTCATCCATGGCATCACATGCGAGCTCGAAGGCATCGGCCGCGGCCACATCAGCGCTTGCGCCGACGACCTGGGCGCCGTCCTGGCTGCTCTCAAAGGCTTCGAGAATTATTCCCACGCCTCCGAGCTGCTCATCCATTCGCAGGGCTGCACCTTCAAGCTACGAATTGCACCATTGCCCCCGCGCGGTCGCTTCCGACGCCGACGCCCACGCGGCGCATTCAGCCGGCGTCGGGGGGCATCTACCCCCCGTGGAAGGATTGCAAGGTTGCCAGCTTCGCGCGCGACCTAGATGCTTTCATTGGCCCTGGAGCCTCGCTATCGACACAATGGGCGAACCCTGCGGGTAAGTGGCGGGGGCTCTTCCAGGTCCCAGCCGACGCCGGGGCGCCGCTTCAGCAGAACACCAAGTGGGGCAGTGTCGCTGATGTCTCCTGCCTCTCATGCAACGGACAACTTACCTCCCCTTTCGCCCATGCTTCCCAGCGAAAGAACCTCCGCGTTGCCCCGCCCAGCTTCTCCGCGACTGACATATTCCTTGGCGTTGGGCGGGCGTGGACATGCCGCAGGGCCTCGAGGCCCCGCTAGTTGCTACAACGTGGAGGACAGCCACAACGACGAACAAGTCGTGGCCGAGCCTGTTTCGTCAACATCGAGAAATTGCTGAAGATCGACTCCCTCTACGTCAAATTATCGAGGGTGCCTGGTGCGTTCCTGCTGGGGGCACATGCGTTTCGACGTGCTTGGTCCCAACCGCATGTGCCCGACATGCAAGGGCTCTTTCC